CTTATCCTCCTACCCATAAATTAGTGCACCTCTCACCCCTTACTGAAGAAGCCTCTTTATGCTGTGGACGATGGCTACTATAGAGACTCACAATTGTTCAAAGTATAGAGAATAAGTGACCACGGAATATTCAACCCCACCCCACCTCAAGGCTTAGGGATCGTCGTATAAAAGAGGACAGAAGGGGCCTAAGAGCCAAATATTGGGAAAGAGAGCTGCAAAATCTGTGTCTTCTGGAGCTGACAGCGCTGCTGCACTCACCAGCTCACAGCACTTTGTAATTGCCTACACAAGACCTGCACAAGATGGGCCAGTCAATATCCCAGCAGGGAGAGGGGAGGGTGTCTAAGCCCTGAAAGTAAATGCCTGTGCACTAAGAGTTCTATACCCAGCAAAGCTGTCTCTGAGTTGGAGAAATAAAAACATTTCAGGACAAGAAAACAGTAAGGCAAGTCATGACAACCAGGCTAAGGATCATGGAACTTGCTTTCGAAAACATTGTACAGAGAGGAAGAATTTGGAGCATTCATCCATGAGAACACAGGAAAGACTACATTCCACAAGGAGGAATAAACAGAAGAGATCTGGGAAGGATTAATCACATCCAACACAGTAAACTTCTAATACTAGCAATGGAGGAAGAAAAGAAATACTAATAAACCAACTAACAAAAACATCAGTAAAAGAAAATACCTCTCACTAATAGCCTTAAATGAAATTATCCTTAACCAATTAACTAATTGGTTGGATATATTTTTTTAAAAGACTGAACTACTTATTGTCTCCCACAAATTCACACAAGTGACAAGCACTGACTCAAAGGTTAGAAATCAACCTGCTAAGCAAATGGAATCCATAAGCAGGCTGGACTAGATATTACTTATCTGATAAGGTAGATCTCAAACCAAAGCTAGTCGGACAAAATAAAGAGGGATGCCACATATTAAGAAATAGAACAATTAATCAATAATATATAACTACTGCAAATGATTATGCACTCAGTCTTGGCACTCCTGACTTCATAGAACAAATGCTAAAAGGCACAAAAGGCTGCATACATTCTGGTACAGAAACAGTGGGAGAAGAATTCAAAACCACGTTCTCATTTCTAGTCTGAATTAAAATTCCACAAAGAAACTGCAAGGCTGAATTATACCAGATATCAACTGGACTTCATAGATATCAACAGAATATTCCACCTGACATACAGGGAATGTGTGTTCTCCTCAGCAGCTCATAGAACCTTTCCTAAAATTGGTCATATTAAAGACCAAAAAGTAGGCTTTTGTGAATACAAAAATATCAAAATAATTCCTTGCAACCCATCAGACCACAGTAGAATAAAGCCAGAAATCAACGACAAGACTAACCACAGAAATTAGACAAACCCTTGGAAAACAAACAGTTATTTTTTAAGTGAACAGTGCATCATTGAAGAAGTCAGGCAGGAGATTTAAAAATGCCTATAATCAAAGGAAAACAATAACTGACCAGAAGCTCTGGGGAACAGCCAAAGCTCTGCTAAGAGGAAAGATCGTAGCTGTAAGAGCTCTAATTTCAAACAACAGTCAGACAAACAAAACCCAGAGAGGGAACAGCCTGAAGGCTCAGCAGCTAAAAGCTTGCTGTACAAGCCTGATGCTCAGTTTCCAGACCAGAGCTCAGCTTTTAGGAGCCACACAACAGTGGACAGAGAAGACCAAATCCACATCTTTGTCCTCTTGCATCTACATATGTGCTGCGGCATTCATGATGCATGCACACACGCGCACGTGCGTGAACACACACAAAAAAATAATAATAATGATGATGATGATGAATTTAATTTAATAATAATGAAAAAATCAGACATCTCAAATAAATAACTTAATGATGTACTTCCAGACTTCAGAAAGACAAGAAGACAAACTCAAATACTGCACATGGCAAGATAAAAATAAAGACTGAGGCAGAAGCTAGCCAGCAAAAGTTAATGAAATTAATAATACAAAAGGAGTTACAATAGATCCTGATGAAATCTAGAAGACGTTAGAGGATGCTTTGAACATGTACAAAAATCTAGAAAGCCTGAAAGAAATGTCTAAATGAGTATGATATGATCTACCAAAATTAAAACTAGGATATGCAAACAACTTAGATGTGAAACAAACAGTGAAATTGAAGCAATAATTAAGTCTCCCTGCAAAGGAAAGCCAAGGATCAGGTAGACTCGCCAGCTGCATCTGGCAGTATTTCCTGAATAAACTTTGATGCCCTGTAATTTGGTGCAGATACATTCAGAATTTGAATGTCCTCTTGAAGAATTGTTCCCCTGATAAGAATCTCTTCTATTTTTGGGGGGAAGTCTATTTTTTTGTCCAGACATTAGAACAGCTGTCTGTGCTTGTTTCTTAGTTCCACTTGCTTGAAGTAGCCTTTTCCATCCTTTTACCTGAAGGTTGTATCTATCTTTGGTGGCGAGGTGGGCTTCTTGGAGCAGTCAAAACATAGATCTTGTTTTCTAATTCAGTCTTCTAGTTCTTGTATCCTTTTTTTTTTTTATTGAGGCCATCAATATTCAGAGTTGTTATTGAAAAATGTGTATGGATTTCTGTTATTTTGCTGAATTTGTAATGTACTCTCAGACTTCCCTTGATTATTTGTTTTGGTATGGTTTACTTAACACTAGAACATCTTTAGTGTATTTATCCTCTCTTCAGGCCGACATATTCCTTCCAATATCCTCTAGAGAGCTGGCTCAGTGGTCATAAATTCCTTCAGTCTATTTTCGTCACAGAAAGTCTTTATTTTTCCTTCAGTTCTAAGCGATAGTCTAGGTTGTAGAGCTTGGGATGGATCTTCTCGGGACCTTCCGTCTTTACTTGTTCTGTTGAATAATCAGGTGCTAGTCTTCGTACTTGACTCACCCTTTCTGTCTTGCAGCATTCAATACCCTCCTTTTGTCTCTTGTCTCAGGGGTTCTGTTGCTGGGATGAAACACCATGACCAACACACCCTGGGGAAGATTATTCTCAGTGTTTTAACTATAATATGTCTTGGGGAGTTTCTCTTCATGTACAGTCTAGTTGGTGTTCTATAGGCATCTTGTACCTACCTGGCATCTCTTACTCTAGATTTTGGATTGTTTTTTCTATGATTTTATTGAAAGTATTTTCTATGTTCTTAGCATGCTATTCTTCTCCTTCTATGCCCATAACTTGAAGATTTGGTCTTTCCAAGGTATCCCAGAACACTTCCATATTCCATTAACATAGTTTTAAATTTTCTCATTGACCTTTACTGAATGATCCAATTCTTCTACCTTGTTATCCAGATCTGATACCATTTTCCACATAATCTATTCTGTTGACAAGTCTTTCCACTGAGCTTTTGATTTGGCATATTAAGTATTTCATGTACAGCATCAATTCAATTTGGTTTTTCCTCGGCAATTCTCTATTGAATTCAATTTTAAAATTGTAGGTTGACTTTTTTCATTTTTTCAGTTCTTTTTGTTTACCTTTGGGATGCATTCATGTCTTGATATCTGATTTTTGTTTGTTTGTTTTGACATAGCTCCAATTATACTTTAAGATCATTTTCTGTGGATTTTTTCAAATAGTTATCATTGGCAGCCATTACCAGGATCATCTCAGGCCTCCTATGTGGGTCTGTAACTTCAACTAGGAGCTGTGGAACCTCCTGTGCCTGTGAGCCTCAGGTCAGATCCTTTTTCTACTCCTGTTAAATATACTCCTCAAAGTCTTATGTAGGGCAATAAGACATGAGAAAGATATAAAAGGGATACAAACAGAAATAGGAAAAGATATTCTAGTTTGCAGGTAGCATTATTTTATATTTACAAGACCCTACAGACTTTACTAGAAGACATTTATATCTGATAAGGACTTTCAGCCAAGGTGCAAGATACAAAGTTGATATGCACAAATAAATATTGCTTTTCTGAATAGCACTAATGAACTTGCCTAGAAAAACATAGGAAAAAGCATCCCGTTCACAATAGCTTCAAATGTATATAACAAAAGATCCAAGACTAAACCTAACCAAGGAGCAGAAAGACCTTCACAATGAAAATTTTAAGATGCTGAAAAGTGAAACTGAAGACAGTCTATAAGATAGGAAGAGTGTCTATGCTCCAGGATTAGCAGAATTAATATTGTGAAAATGGCTATATCACCAAAGGTAATCTACAGATTCAATTAAACTCCACCAAAATTACAGAACTAGAAAAAAAATCCGAAAATTCATATTGAAACTCAAAAGACCATGAACAGCAAAAGAGATTCTAGGGAGGAAGAACACTACTGAAAGTATTACAGCATAACCCCAAACTACACTACAGAGCCATAGTGACAGAAACAGTGCAGTACTGGCACAAAAGCAGACATGTACACTGTGGAATATAATAGGAAACCAGAAATAAGCCCAAATAGCTATGGCAACCTAATGTTTGACATAGTTTAAAAAAAATACAAGATATGCCATTCAACAAGTAATGGTGGTAAAATTGGATATCCTAATTTAGAAAAGTGAAATTATATACTTATTTGTCACCTTACATAAAAACCAGCTCAAATTGGATATAAGAAATTAATTTAAAACCTGAATTTCTGAAACTGCTAAATTTAGGCAAGTATTTGAAAACGTAGGTGTAACCAAGAGACCCCAATAAAATAAGAAAAAAAACCACAAAAGGATAAATATCAGTACACAAAATTCAACATCTCCCATGCAACAAAGGAACTGTAAACCGAGGGAGAACACCATGCAGGATGGGAGAGATCTTTGCCACTTGTATTTCAGGCAAGGGCTTAATATACAGAATATATAATGAACTGGGAAAATTAATTACCAAAAATTACAACACTTCCAATTTAATAAATTGGCCAATGAACTGAACAGTCAGTTCTCAAAAGGAGAAACACTAACGATCACATCTTAGTTAGGGTTTCTGTTGCTGTGATAAAACACCATGACCAAAGACGACTTGGGGAGGAAAAGATTTATTTCAGTTTACAGTTCCACATCACAGTCCATCATCAAAAGAAAACAGGGCAGGAATCTAGGACAGGAACCTGACATGGAAGCAAAGGAAGAATGACCCCTGGTTGGTTCTCCATGGCTTCCCCAGCCTTCCTTCTTCTCTCAGCCAAACAACCTACCCAGGGGTTGCAGCCCCACTGTGAGCTGAGTTTTCCCACACCAACTGTCAGTCAATAAAATGCTGCAGTCCAATACCACAGAGGGATTCTCTCTATCAAGATATGTCAAGTTGACAGCTGGCAGAGCCGAGATATATATATAATGTTGAATAGCCTTCTCCATTGTGCAAATTAAAACTGTTTTTAGATTCCATTTCACCACAATGAGAATGACTATCATGAAAACAAAGGATAACAAAATCTGGCAAGAATGTGGGGAAAGAGGTATCTATATTCACTGTTGATATAGGTTGGTACAGTCACTATACAGAGATCAGCATGGAGCGTTCTCAAAAACTAAATGTAGAACTAGCACGTGACCCGGCTGTGTGACTTCTCGGCATATGCCCAAAGGATGCTGTACTCTACCCCAGAGATACGTGCACATCTGTGTTTATGCCGCTCTGTTCTGAATATCCAGGAAATGGGTCCCGCCTAGATGTCCACCAGCAGATGAAGGATCATGAAAATGTGATCTATATATGCTAAATGGAATTTTATTCATCTGTAAAGAAAAATAAAATTAGCAAGAAAATGGACAGAACTGGAGAGTGTAGTGACTCAGGCTCAGAAAGACACGTGGTGTTCTCTAGCACGTGTGGATCCTAGCTTCTAATTTATAGTCACATATAACTATAGAGAGGCATGCGGTTAGAGACAAGGAACTAGAAAGAGGCTCACGAGGGGAAAGAGATTTTAAGTGAGCAGAGGGGAGTGAGTGGGTGGGAAGGTAAAAGAACACACACTATACGAAGGTAGAAAAGGGAATTGTGGGTGGAGGCATCAGAGAAACAAAGATATGGGATAGCGGGGAGAATCAACCCCTAAAACACGGAACTCCATATGGAAACTTTACTCTGTATACTAATTTAAAAAATTTTAAAACCATAATTCTGAATGTGTGTGTATATCTAATGGGTATATCCTTAAACTATATGAAACCAAAACAAAAGAACCAGGCAACCCACAACCCCTGATAATAATTTTGAAACACTTCTCTCTCAGGGATTAGTAAACATCTCAGTCAGTAAAGAGCCCACTGGACAAGCGTGAGGACCTGAGTTCGAATCCCCAACACCCATGTGAAATGCCGGTTGCTGTTGTAAGTGCTTGAAATCTTAGTACTGGGGAGGCAGAGGCAGGCAGATCCTTGAGATTTGCTGGTTGGCTGGCATTTCTGAACTCATGGGCTCCAGGTTCAGTAGAGATCCTGTTTAAAAAAAAATGGAGAGTGATGGAGGAAAACACTCAACATTGATTTCTGACTTCCTCACATGTGTATGTACATGCACACACATATATGCACATATTCAAATAAAAAGTCAGTATCCTAAAACATCAGAATACCTATTCACTTTGTATTGAACCTAGCATGACTTGGAATTCTCCAGGTAGCTACCCTCAGCCTCATCACACACACACACACACACACACACACACACACACACACACACACACACAAAGAATGTGTGGTCAATGGCTCACCTTTAGCCTGGATGATGTGGTAGGTATTAATGAGCAGACATTCTGACTCCCTAGGGTTTAGAGGCCTTGTTTTATCTCAGACGATGCATTTTCTCGTTCTGCAGCCTCGGTTTTTGAGTAGACAAGGACAGCTCAGTAGATGGTTGTCCTTACCAAATTTCTGGGGTGGACGAAAATTGAGTTTTCCTCCTTCCAGCAGGCCAGCAACAGGACAGAACCCACAGAACTCCCAATAATTAGATCAACTTGGCAAATGTACTGCAGACTCGAGGAATATCTAAACTCGATTTTCTTGTCCTGTGTGGGCTTGGTTTCCTTATCACCCCCGAGGCCTAATTAGCTTTTCTCAATTTTACACAGGCTTTCTCCCCAAGGAGTCTGAAAGGCACCCCTCTCAGTAGGAACTTCTTTTATTTGATTGTTTTGATTCAGAGCTAATTTTGCTTCAAGGCTTCTGGTGTTTTTCCTCAGATGACATGGGACTATTCTTTGCATTACCGCATTGGAACCTCCTAACATCGGTACTACCAACTGTGACACCAAGATGTCTCCAGATAATGACCAGTGGAGATGGGAATCCTGCTTATTAGTCTCCAGTTCAGAACAGGAAGAAAACCAGAATAGTTCCAAATCCTCAGACACCACATACCTGGATGACAACTCTCTGTGTAAATGGCAGACACCCATAAGCTCCTCTCACCGGCTAGCTGTGCATTTTCCTTTCAGTGTTTGGGCTCGAACCCACGCTAGGCAAGTGCTGTACCACCGAGCTATAATGCACAACCAACTGTTGTTAGCCAGGAGGTTAGCTCTGTAAGGGACTGACCAGTAGACCCTAAGACGAGGACCTAAAGACCATGGGTATGACAGTTCAAGAACATGATGATGGAAGTGATCAGCTCTAGATGGGCCAGCTCAGAGTCCCCAAAATAAATGTAAGGGGTGATGGGTCATGGTAGTCCATTCTAGCTCATGGGACATGGAGAAAGTCCTGAGTGAGTGAGTGAATGAATGTTGTTGACGTGAACATGGCCATGTCAAGGACCACAATGCTTCAGACCCACGGGAGTGGCAAAGACTGGTCTACATGCCGATGTCTTCCTCCTTGCTCGGTGGTATATAATCAACACACTGAATTTCCAGGCTGCTGCTGGTGCCTCTTCATCAAAGCACACAGCCCACCTGATCCCCCTTTTCTGTACGTCCCGTCCCTCCCTCCCCTTGGCCCCCTGTCCCTCCCTCTGCCCCCCACTCTCCCGTCCCTCCCACACACACCCCCACCACCCCGGTTAGGTAGATGACTGAGCTGTGCAGGCCACAGTACAAGCTGGATGAGATTCAAGTAACATCAAGACTCCCCCTCTAGGGGAGCCTGAGCATGAGCAGAGACGGCTCCCCTTTCCCCTAGTGAGCTTTGCTGCTTTAGGGGTGCTTAAACCCCCACACGTGGTCCTGCATCCCACACATTTACTTACAACAGGCTGGATCAAATGGCTTCTGAGGGAAGCAGGCCGTTCTCTCGGAAGTGCCCGCCCTGACAGAGCAGAGGGCGGGGGCGCAGCAGAAGAGAAGAGCGAGGCCCCTGGCCCGCCAGGGTCTGCGCAGTGATGCTTGGCTCAGCCCGTTCTTTTTCTAGGATGCGTTCTGGCTTCCTCACTTGTTCTAATTAGACTCTGGGCTGGCTGGCTGCTACTGTGTCCTACCTGAATTATTTTCTTTTGGGACGCAAGAACCAAGACAGCCGCTGGAGCTAAGACCAGAGGAAACTAAAAGGAAGTCAGAGGAAACTAAACTTTCTTCCTCTCTCCTTCCCCTCCCTTCCTGCCTTTCTTCCATTTTAGAATTAAATAATTTGTTTAAAGAAACTTTTCCTCCAAATGCACCATAAATATCAATAATATTACATGTATTCCTAATTGGAGTAAAGCTATTTAGAATTACTGTGAAAAACAAGAGTGAAATTCTAGAATTACTTCATATTCTCGTCCTAGAGAAATCTGGTTTACAAGGCAGGAATGCTGATTTCCACAAATAACATAGAGTATCTGTTGGCTCTAACCATCCTGTTTCTCCACATAAAGACAAGAAGAAAATATAAGACACTGTGTTTAAGAATATTCTAGATGTAAAAGTTGGTCTGACTGATTTATTAATGCAGATAAGCACCCACCCCCTACCTCCACTCCCATCCCCTTGTCTCTCACTCTTTAGCTAAAGTTAGTGTTGATCTCCCGGGCTCAAATAATTCCCACCTCAACTTCTAGAAGAGCTCTAACTGCAGGCATGGTCCGCTATATCTGGCTCTCTTTTGGTTTTTGTTTTGAAGATTTTATTTATTTTTATTTTATGTGTATGAGTATTTGCCTGAATGTATGTTTGTATGCCACATGCCCACCATGCCCACGAAGACCGGAAGAGGATGTCAGATCCCCCAGACAGTTGTGAGCACCGTGTAGGGGCTGGGAATGGAACCCAGGTCCTCTGGAAGAGCAACCAACGCTCTTAGCAATAGGGTCACCTCGGCAGCCCTACCTCTTTGGTTTTTTTTTTTTTTTAAAGAAAAAGGATACACAAATTGTATATAACCAAGGAATGACAGCATTAGAATGCAATAAAGCAAAGATGTTAACACGACTACCTATGCCTACGAAGCTACTAACGCAAAGCACTGTTGTGTTGTGATGCATGATGGGAGGCTCTAGGTGTACTCAGTCTCAAGTGTGTTACTTTGAGAATTAAGTGTTCCCAGCTAAGTTGGTGAAATTTTCCTTCAAGGAATGAGAACATTTTTTATTATTTGTTTGTTTGTTTGTTTTTATGTATATGGGTGTTTTGCCTACATGTCTGTCAACCACATGCATGCCCAGTGCCCTTGGAGGTCGGAATGCTTTGAAATCCCCGGGTCTGGAGTTACAGACAGTTGTGAGCCACCCTGTGGATGCCAGGGCTCTAATCTGAGTCCTGTGGATGAGCAGGAAGTGCTCTTAACGGCTGAGACACCCAGCCCCTAAATAAGTGAAGTTTTCACAGATTCTAGAGCTCAGCTTGTACAGCAGTCATAATTCCTGTGTGACCCAGACTCTTGCAGTTCTTGTGTTTCACTTTCTTACTGTACTGGAGGGAATTCCTGTGGGTATCTGTCAGCTTGCCTCCCACAGTATCCAGGACAATTTCTGGGACACAGATATCCCATTCCTTACATGAGGCTTTGCAAATACATAAGCAGAGGCTTTGCCTTCAATTAGCCCAATATTCCTATTTCCTGCTCCTCCCATGGTCACACATCATCATAAGTCATCTCCATAATACCTTCTGGGACCAGTTGTTGCTATGGAAGCTGTTGCTATGGACTCTGGAGGTTGTGATGATCTGTTTCCCAGATCGGCCCCTCGCAGCCCAGCTGCTACAGACCCTCCTTTTGTTCTCCGTATCTACCCCAGCTCAGCTCTTCATCGCGTAGATTTATTTCATCTTTCAGGAATCTCATTTGCTGTCGCCTCTTCCAGTCTTTGATCTTTGTACAATCAGTGGCTGGGAACTGATCCATCCTCCTTCCATCGTCTTTCCTACCTGAGAGTGTGGGGGACAAGGAAAGAGGAAAGGTGGACTGAGCTTTAGTCTCCGTAGAGGCATATTTTTTCAAACCCCTTTGAAAGCAAGCAGGTCTTCAAAGTGTTTCTCGGGATTGCTCCAACTGCTGTTTTGTTATGGGTACACACAGCTGAGAGCACACTAGCACTTCTGTTATGCTAGGATTCATATCTTATGACCAAGGACCTTGAGACACACGCATCTACATGGAAGAAAGCTGGAATGTGCCAGGGTGTTGCAGTGAGGGTGACCTCGTTCCATAGGGAACTGTGGTGCATCTCATTAAGTGAGGTGTTAAGACTTTTAGCTTTGGCCTTGTGTTGGTGATTTTGAGGAGAGCCCAAGGCAGCATGGTTTTGTTCTGTGTTGGATACTTCCAGAAACCAGATGCAATTTCATGGTTGGGTACGTTGATTTTTTTTTTTTTCCTCTCCGGAAGGCACAAAAACATAAGGTCTCAATGCATTAGCCATTTGTCTGGCTAATCCCTGCAAACATTAAGGAAAAGGTTCAGTTAAACATTTTTGGAGTCCTATAAATAGAAAGTTAACAATGTCGTTTTCCTACTCATCTGGAGCCACCGTCCAGTAAAGCGTCTGGCTTGTCCTGTACCATCTTTCTTATTTTTAGCTCTGGGTATCTACTCCAGAAAGTGATGAATTATCTTTACTGACTTGCCTAGTTCATCTCCAGACACAGTTTTAGCTCTTCCTGGATACGTTTGTGTCTCACTGGGTAGCAAACGGGTGGTGTGAGCAGGGTCCTGTTCTTCAGGGATTTGCCACTCGAGAAAGCTGTGTGACTTGTCTACTGTGTCGAGCATTCTGACGACATTGAGCTGCCTTTTGGCTCTCACCCATCTTCTTTCAAGTCCGTTCTCTTTGGGTGAAGTTTTCCTCCTGTGTTTACTCTATTTGTCTTTTGCAGCTCCTTAGAGTATAATTGTCCTTTAACAGGATCCAAATTATGCCTTCCACAAATAGATCGCAATGGGGTGGTGTGTACCACACAGCTCTTGACCCCTCGAACTTGGCATCCAGTCCCTCCCCTGCTTTTGCCAAGGTTGCCTTACAAATCTGCTGTTCCCTATTCTGCTGCTCACTTTGGGGGAGGGGAGAGGCACACACATCGCCTCACACAGCCCTAAAGGATTATTAGCCAAGTACCACCCTCTCAAAAACCCAAGCGCCCCCCATGGGCTGGTAGATAGATTCACAAAGGAAAACAGGCTTTTATAATTGGAGTGTTGGTTTTTTCTTCAGAATAGGAAAAGGCAGATGTATTGAGCACACAGCAAGGAGGCAGCCAGCAGGGCAGAGAACGGAGCGCCTCGCAGGAGCTGGTCAAATGTGGAGGTTCCATTTAGGAGAACCCACTCTGTAGACTTAGCTCTCTCCACACAAACGAGGGCAGTCTTGTTTGGTGAACACTGAAGTCTGGGGCAGAGATGGCTCTGTGGTACAAGGTTGTGGTTAATGTTGATTTTTGCCTCTGCTCCGTCACACTATGCTTCCAGTGCCCTTCAAACTCGGGGACAACTCTAAAAAACTCCAAGTAACCTGGAAACTGCTCTTGGTATGGTCTAAAAGGAGTTGCTTTTATGGTGTTTTATAGACAATTCATAGGCCAGAGCTTTATTATAGAAAGCTCACAGTAGCTGTTGTTTTAAAAATAACAAGCAGT